ACACACACACACACACACACACACACACACACACACCCAATCGTAAAACAGCCTAATGAGGTGCTGCTTCCAGTTCAATATTCAGCTGTGCATTTTTTCTTACTTCATCAAATGAATAGCTTTTTGTCACCTTCCCGTTCTTGAATACAGTATGGAGAAGATCCTGCAGAAATTAAGTTTAATGATTTTATTAATGAGACCATATTGTAAAATATTTGAATCATGCTGTGATGAATTTATCTAGATACATTTATCTAGAATTTATCTAGATGTTGATGGTGTTCAAATTACAATTTAAAGATTGCTATGATGTTACATTCTTAAGCCAGTTTTCTTAAAAGGAAAACCAAAAAAACATGGTTCATCAATTTTTTTTTTCTTCTGGCACATGAGTCTGGTTGCCTAGAAGAACCACGACTGTCACTGATAATCATTACTGACAGTGCACTAAAGAAATGCTAATACTACCAAACCCTTCTCTTGTTCCTGCCCAATCAACAGACTCAAAACTAGCAATCCAAAAGTTTAATAAATTGATTAGTCACTGAATTCTGGCCTGAAAAAAAAAATATCAAACCCGAAGCAAAAACAACAAAAATCATATATATATATATATATATATATATAAAATATATTTTTATCTCATGTACAGATGACTGAGTTTAAGACTCTTAGGTACTCTCAAGACACTGACAAATGCATTCACTGGACACAGACCCTGGTGAAAATGATGACTAAATTCATTCAGGTCTGATAAAGCCATACCTGCCTAAGGAGTTATCTCTCTCTCTAATCTGAATTTTCCCACCTAGCCTGAAGGTACAGGATATTATATAGTAACTTTCAAATTATACTGCTCTAGCTATAGCATTTTCTTTCATAAATTTAAATAGAACCTATCAGGGAATGCTGATTCCTATTCATTAAAAATGTATGGATGATTATAAATAGATAAAAACTTCAGATGTTCTAGTGCATCATTCACACACTCATGGTCTTACTTAGTCTAAGTTACAAGTGACTAGTTCATCTGGATAGACTAATTAATCAAAATCTTGGTAGCTATAAAACCCAAAGAATTGACTATAGGCTATATATAAAGGAATCGAATTCTAAGTTTGATATACAAATCTGTATTTTTTTTCCTTAAAGTTATTTCATAGTTCTGGCTTAAAACCTATAAAAATATAATAAAAGTATCATGTGATAAGCAGCAAATTTGACACAATATAAAGAATCATAGCAGTAGTGCATTTATATTTAGTATCAACTATTCTGAGAATATGAATATTCACAAGTAGTTTCCTTCTAAAAATGAGGTTTTAAAAAATCTAGTGGCTTAAAACCCAGAACATTTATAACTTTGCAGTACACAAATATAAATGTACTTTTGTATGCTAAAAGCCATCAGATCAGATCAAGTAGACTACTTTGGCACATTATAAAATTTTCCCATTTGGTGAATGGGAGTCAGAAAACTATCAGAAAACTTGATTTAAGGAGTCACCATTTATTAGCTATGTAGTCTGAATCAACTTACTGCTTTCACATTTTACCCTTCTAAGGTAACACAGCTTTCCTTTTTCAGCTCCTACAGTTGTTATGTGAGTCGAGTCAGACTAAAGAAAATCATCTGAGCTGGATACTATTAAGTTTAAAAAACAAAAATTACTTTAAAAAACATTTTAAAATTTGAATAGCCCCTCCATTATCTATTAAAATTACCAACACTTCACTATAATGCAAATAGCTTTGACAAGTCTAAGAATAGCATCCTTTTAAGTATTATTCAGAAATGATTCACTGTTGACAGTAGGATTAAGACCAAATAAACACAAGCTTGTTAAAGGTTATCAATCACTACCATGATGCTGGCCACTACGTGAAAAAACTCTCAATTACATAAATGTCACAGACTGCTGTGAAAACAATTTAACAAAAACTAATCTTATTAATTTGGAGAACCAATCAACTAATGTTAAAAAAAAATCAGTACAGATACATACGTGACCATATTCCTCAAGATCTCCTTTTCCTTCCTCAAGTGTAACAAAATTCCCTGCTGGTGTCCTATGTAAAGATAATCGGCCCTTTTTGGACCTTTTGTTGGGATCAGCAACTGGGTCCTTGAAGACATTAATCTGCAGTACACATTAAGAAAACGAAGACTAATCAGAAATGTCTATCAAACTTTCACTTAAGACAGTGCTTGTTAGTGTGTTCTGAAGGATAGTCATCTGTTACGAAAAAAAGGTATGAAAAGAGTTCAAATCTAATATATCCTTTCTTACCACTAGAAAGAATATCAGTTAATATATCTTTGAGAATTCTTAACATGTGACCCTTATATTACAAATCATTTTTAAACTGATGCTAAATATAGCATACACATGCTATTGAAAAATATTCAACCATGTCACCTCCACCCCAAACACACACACACACACACACATACATTTATGTACTCTATTTGTAGAGTAGATCTAGGATGTTACCAAGGTAAAGGCTTTCCTACTTTATAACCTTCCCCTTGTTGCTTTTTGCGTTACCTGGTTAATGGCAAAAACAAAAATATTAGAACAGAGTGTTTGTTTTGTGATGAGAAAGACAGGAGGCAAAATATAATAGATGTAAACAGCAATGGCAGTAGAATGAGAAGCAACAGATAAGCCAAGCCCAAAAACCCTGATGGAAAGGAGTACACAGGGAACCAACTCAGGTCTTCTTCAGAGTTTTTAGCTTCCCCAACCCATTGCTCCACAGACTCCCCAGCCCTCAAGAAGCTATGGAATACTAGGGAGATGATTGTTCAGTTGTTGGCTACCAAACATGATTATATCAAAACCAGAATCTCCTAAAAGGGTGCTGACAGTGATTACATACTTGCTTATCCTTAATATATTGTGGCCAGATTAGCTGACATTCCCAAATACAGTCAAATTCTTGATACAAAAGTATACAGTAAAGCAGAGAGAAATGACTGATCTGCATTTTCTCTTAAACAATCTTACATGTTATTGTTCCTTCTTTATCCAAGTCTCTTTTGTTCTCCTTTGTCATGTTATTACCTAATGTTAGTACCTGACAATATATTAAAAGTTCAGGAACATATATCCTTTTGGACTATTCCATTCAAAAACTGTTCTCTGCCTAGCTACATTAAAAAGGTGATAACAAAGGAATAAAAGTTGAAGAACATACCCCAAGGCCATTAGTTACAACATAGCTACACTTGAAGGAACAATTCAAGAGATCTCTTGTTAACTTCTGTAGCAAAGCTCCACCAGAACCAAAGGAAACATTTTCAATACTCCACTTTTTTTGTTTCATGCCTTCTACGATCTAGAAGATTAAAAACAAACAAATAAGAACCTAAGCAATTTAGAAGCGATTATTTCCAAAGAACAATGTTAATGAATGAAGCATCCTAGATCAGTTTTGAAAGCCAACAATTAGGTAAGAATAAGGTCTAGATAGTTATTTTCCACATCCTCTTTAAAGACCTGCCCACCCCCCTCCCCCAAAGGCTGCCTGAGATGAATATGAGCTGATGAGGGTGTGGGGAGGGAAATGGATGATTTCATTTACAGTATGTGAATCTGTGTTGTTGCTGTCATTGTGGGGGTGAGAAAACTGGCTATAAATATCTTCAGTTAACCAAATGATCATCTCTCACCCACCTCAAGTTATTTGCCTAGATGCCAGCCACAAGAGCCCTGGTACCAAACATTTGTCTCAAATTACTGGACTCTGGGAATGACTCTAATCATCACAACACATTGTGTTACTGAATGTCATACGTTAAATCAATAGCTACTGGTGGTAAAAGAGTACTCTCCTACACAAACAGTTGTGATATCAACAGAATAAATCACCCTGGCTGGAGCTCCAGTGTCATAAACAAAATTATGAACTGATGCTATAGGTATTAAGATACATTATTAGATCATTTTGGGGAGAATGACTATCTAGTTAGCTAGAGAGATCTGCACGACATTCAGTTCTGGTGGTTAAAACAGTTCTTTTAAGGGACAAATAAATTTAAAATTGCATTAAAAATTTGTTTCTTGTTAATAGCATCTCTTCTGAATAGGGTTTATTTACATAGCTTTTGCCCTCTTTAACACATCTCATCACTTTTATAATAGAAGGCAGCAAGTGAAATTTAGTAACCAAATGAAATTTAGTTACCATTCCTTTAATCTCATGAAAATAGCCGAAGTTGTAGTAAATGGAAGGGTTAGTTCTGTTTTATTTAAAAAGAACTTTCAAAAGTGATCAGAAAGCCAGAAGCAAGTTTAATAGCTTTATGTGGATTATTAAAACAAATCTACCACTTTCCCCTGAATTATCAAGTCTGAAATTGACTATTTGTTTTTGACTTTGCAAAGGTAAGACCAAAAATAACCCAAGCACACCTTTAACCCACATTAAGAAATGAAACTTCATTTAAAAATTCCAACCCATCTAAATTCTCCTCTTTTTATGTACTAGAAGAATATAGTTTTCAATTGGAAGAATCAAGATGGAAATATACACAGTTTAAAGTGATTCTTTAGGCTGTGCACAAATCCAATCTCTTTGTCTTTATTATTGTATACAAACCCAAAAAAGTACTTAAGCCCCTGAATTCATATTTATTTTTCACTGAGATGGCTATGAACAAAGAGAATTTTAGTATGGGAGAAATGCGAAGAGTAGAGCAGAAAGAGGGTGGAAAAGAAAAGGAAACAGGCAGATAAAGGGTAAAATGGTTATAGTAAAATATGGAGAAAAAATAGTTTCAGACTGTCCCCTGATTTTACATGTGTTCCAGAAGCACAATGATGAGGAAATGACAAAAAATAGTATCATCTAATATCACTATATTTCAGGTCAAGTTTCTTTACCAAAAGTTATAAAAATTAAATGCTTTGGTGCTAAAGTTAATTTTTCTGTTAATGTGAAATTATAACTGGGGAAAAATTACTATTTGAACAGATTTACACAAACAGGAAACCTGATTAGAAATGAATTGACAAGATACCACTCTTAAGATACTAATCTTTTGTTGAATATATTTTCTTATTTCATATACAAGGTATCTAACTTAACTAAAGTCATTATGCCATTAGGATTTAATTATTTTTTTCTCATCATGACCATGCAGCTGAATCATGTGTTACAATGTGCAAGTGCTTTTGCAATATTTTATATGTATATGTTTGAAATATATTATATATTTTTTTATATAATTAAAAAATAATTTGTTCATAAGTTTACATAAAATCAATGTTTTTCTATTAAGTCTCTGAACCAAAATTGTAAGGCTTGGAAATTACAACGAATGTAGAGAAAAGAGTTCCAAAAGAAGAATAATAGTCTAGCTAATGGGGAACAAAGAAAAAAATGTTGACCTATGCATAAAATAATAAGATATCATGAGCCTGGGAAGGAAAATGTTTAAAATATGTTAACTTCAGAAAAATATTCCTCTTGACAACTCAGAATTCAATACTATTTTAATATCATTAGTGAACCACTCCAATGGAGAGATTCAATGACACCAAGTCGAGAATGAATCCCTAACTGAAACCAACAGAGAAGATGAGTACTTAGTATTCTGGCCAATACAAAAGAGATTTTGCCTCTTTTCCTAAATAAGCAGATTCATTTTGGCACACAGTGGAACACAGGGGGCTGGATGACACAAGAGTAAATAGCAAAGTCTCAGAGTGAGGCAGATGGTCAAGAAGAGAAAGGAGTTGTTTCAAATAAAGCAGATTTTTCATTTGTCAAAATTCAGGTATCTAATTCAGCATATGTACAAAGTAAAACTGCTAGATGAATTCCTGCTTCTAAAAACAGGAAACACCTCCAATATGAAGAAATCAAGTATTATTTTTTAGGTTACGCCACAAGCCAAGTTTCTTTATTTTTCTTATATCCCATGAATACTTTTGTATTGACACAAATCTACTCAATTCTAACTGTTCTGTTTAAGGTTTCAACAATGTCAGAGTATCTCAGTATTCTTGTTCATCTAGTTAAAAAATAAGAAAGTTTTTTAAGCTGATTCTCTAATTTGTTTAAAAAACAAGGGGGGAAAAGAAATGGCAAAGCCAAAAAGCTTTGATTTTTAGAGGGAAGTTCAAGGTATCCTGATTACAAAACCCAGCTTAAATAGATGACTATCAGAAGGATGAGGGGGAGGCGTAGGCAATGGGAAGAGCCCCTAGCTAACAGATTTTTGAAATGGGTTACCGAACATTGCCCATGTTCCTTCACTGGAAGGGGGAGAAGCATGTGTGAAGGTACTTGCTAGGGTGTCTCCAAGGCAGGTATGATTAATAGTACTTAACCGCCACTGGGACAAGTACCTGTCAGTTCAAATGAAGGAAGGGGACAACAGCAATTAAATGTGCTGGTGGGGATCTCTATATTCAAAGTTTCCCACTGCAGACTCTCTTGCACATCTCCCTCCATTTTTCACATAAAAACTTCTAATGTCTTAACGCTCAATGTCTTAGGAAAGCTGAGGGAGTTCCCACCTTTTTTGAGCAATTTTGGGAGAGGTGGTGAAAAAAACTTCATTTCTGTTATTGAGAGGAAGATCAATTAGACTCCTCACTTTGGAACTCTTAATACACACCTCCACAGAAATAAAGTTTGTTATACATCACAGCTCTCATTTTTCAAATTAATCTTTGGAAAACTTTATAATTCACATTCTGACCCTATTCTACCCACACCAAACTCTTTTAAACAGAAAAATCCTCCAATAACTTATGCTACACATCTTATACCACCCAAGACTGGAAGACATCAAAATGTCAGATTTATGGTAGTACACAGTCCACATTATGTTCTTAGTGAGAGCCTTAATTTTTATGGAGTACTAGGGTATTATTTTAATTATAGATCCTAAGCTTATTTAATGAAATGAAGAGGCAAAAGTTAAGTAACACAATAGTTGACTGCATTTAATAACAGTGATGACAATCAATCCTTAATTTAGAAGAGTTGACAAACCATTTCATAATTTCTGAAAAAAAGCACCTATTAATATCATTTAAGTTTTATATTGTTAAGGAAGGAGCAGCTCCCTTCTATGAAAACCAGACTTTATGAAAACAATCACAAACTTTTGTTTTATATTACAAGGAATATTCCTGGACTGACAGTGATAAAGTCTTTAGAATCACTATCCAGGGTGGCCAATGAGGACTAGAAGAGTACGTATGCTTTGACTGGTATTTCTATATTTTAAGCTACTGTTACTCCTAAACTTTAGGAAATGCACAGAAAAGACACATACCATCATAAACACTTATGTAAGACTTACAATTATATTTAAATTAACATGTTTATCAAACAAATACAAAGTTTAATTATAAGGACTTCCTTATTGGAACACCTACCTCTTGTAAGGTGTTAATATCTACTCCATCCCCTTGGATAACTCTAAGATAAGGTGGCAGCAACTTGTAGCCCTTTGAGTTCTCAGTAACAGGAAACTTCTTACCTAAAATATCCAAAACCTGTATGAAAAAACACATGCAACAAAAATAACTGAAACTGAAAAAAAGTATAAAAACTTTAGAGGTATGTTATTTCCATCATAAAGTATTTCAAACAGTTTTTTTTCCTTTATATCTTTTCAAATTACAAAGATTCAAGGAAGAAAATCCTCATTATTAGATTAAAACAAATATTTTAAAGAAGTATGTAAAGTATGATTCAACAAACTCATGATTATACATTTGATTCAGCCCTTGTCCTCCATACTATGCTAAGATGTTAGAAAGAATGAATACATACTCCCATTATTTGGCTAGGCAATGCAAGCACTTGGCTCTTTTCTGTGAATTTTTGAAATCATATACCAATGAGAGTAGAGACATATATATTATATTTTATTCTGCTTGTGTCCAAGTTTTGTTTGGCTTAATTTTGTTTGATGTAACTCAAATATAAATCTATTTGAATTACAAAATTCAAAGAAATTGTGATTGACAAAGTTGGAAATGAAGCATATAAATGCATAGTTTCTCTCAGGTGCTCCTTTCCTCTATTAAAGCCAAATCGCATAATATAGGCAAACCATCCTACTCATTCATTAACTATTTAAAAGTTTTGTAGCAGTTGAAATACTTAAAACAGATTAAAATTTCTTGGAAAACTTGGTCAGAGATAGAAAATACATACAAGGCAGCCCCTCCCATCCCTTCTTTTTCTTAAATGAGCTGATTTAAATATCCTGATAATGAGAAAATTCCAAATAGATAACGTGTGTGTGTGTGTGTGTGTGTGTGTCCCGGGGATCGAACTCAGGGGTACTCGATCACTGAGCCACATCCTCAGCCCTATTTTATATTTTATTTAGAAACAGTGTCTCACTGAGTTGCTTAGTGCCTTGCTTTCTGGATTTGAACTCGTGATCCTCCTGCCTCAGTCTCCTGAGCTGCTGGGATTAGAGGCACACATCACCTCGCCCAGCTCAATCTGTTCTTTTAACTAGTTGTGTACATTTTTACTATGTAATAAAAAGGTCAAGCCCCATTTGGCTTGCTAAAACCAAATATTTCAGGCTAAGACAAGACTTTCAGAGTGGCTTATCATTTAATAGAAAAAGGCCTCCTTGTAGCTAAGACCCCTCTTCACAAGGGGTAATTTATCATATGTTCATTAGCTGAGAAAGTGGGAAAGTAGGAAAGCTGCAGTCAAAAGACCTATAGTGGATCCTTGCTCCTTATTTTTCATGTTGTGTGACCTTGAGCAAGTCACTTTAACTCTAAGCCTCTGTTTCTTCTTTTATAACAGAGAAAATAATGTTTATTATAGGACTTTTGATGACATTAAATGACACATTTTAATGTAAGGCACCTATCTCCTACAATCTTTTTCTAGTAGGAGGCATTTATTAATCCTGCTCTTATTAGTGCTTTTTGAAAGCAATCAAGTCCTAAACACTGGAAGAAAAAAAAAAAAAAGCAATATCACTACATTATCAGCAGTATTGCAAAAGAATTACTACTGGAAAAGTAATTTTAAATCATATTTATTCCACATCACCTTGCACATATTTCTCACAACAACTTCAAAGGTAAAACAATGATTTGTGATAAAACAAAGAAACCATACACTTGGTGCCCAAAACACAGGATTACAATGGTAATGCCATTAACTGAATTTGAAGGAACACAGGAAAGAAATGATCAATTCAGCAGTAACTACTTGATAGTATAAAAGTAACCCATAACTCTTGGTATCCTTTCTCTGTTATTATTGTGTGACCTTGGGCAAATCTATTACTCTCTCTGGGCTGTAATTCTTAAAAAAAAAAGGAGACTGATCCATAAAGCTCTGAAATGATGTGTGTATAAATTAAAAGTAGTGTTGATGCAGTTGGTCTACAGGCATTTTAATGATCAAGTTACATATTAAAATTTACCTTTAATACAGTGTCAAGAGGATTTCCAGAATCAGGTCTGATTATTAGTGGTGCCTCTGTACTTCTTGATACTATTAAATGTCTTAGATCTTCACCCCATATTTTTTCACACGCATTATAAATGTCATAGCTATCGCTGACCACAGATACAGGCACTGATGAAAACTGTGTTACTATATGTTCAAAAGCATCTTTTTCATGGTCTTTCCCCCAAGCTGTTATGGTACTAGAAAACAAAATGAAAATACAGATTTACTTAGTAACACATTATCTACTCCTGAAGCACCATTAACCATATCTTATGTTTACTATCTACATCAACAACACCACAGAGAAGGTGAGGGATTTAATTTATGAATGCATGTCATAAGGTAAATGTAATATTTGGGACAGATTTTCTCTTGGCCAATTTGTTTTCAGCAATTTCAAGTAACCTTATTTGGTTTTAGTAGTTATTAAGTTACTGGCTCTTAAGTCATATTCAACCAAATTAAAAACTTTTTGTTGTTGTTGTTTTGGGGGGGTTGTTGGTATTCCTCAATCTATTCTTTAAAATCAATAAGCTAAAAAGTCCTTGCTAAATGTCCTCCATACTTTATGCCAAGATATTACAAAGAATGAATACATATTCCCATTATTTTTCTAGGCAATGCAAGCACTTGGCCCTCTTCCATGAAGTTTTGAAACTACCAATGATAGTAGGAACATTTTTTTTAACCTTTCAAAATCTTATATTTAGAGGCACTTATTCTGTAAGTTTCATACATACAGTCAGCTAACTGTTGTATCTTCAAATGGGCAATTAACAGGCAGTCATTTATTTCGCTTACAGATTATCTATTAGTAATTAATACATGCCCAAGGAACAAGAATTTTAATGTTTATTTGGGGCAAAACATAATTAAGATGGGAAATAAAGTATGAGAGTTTCATACTATTGGGCAAGAATGACTAGCATGATTTTTTTGCAATTTCCTCAGTAATGGTTTTTATTGAATAGATTTAATAACTCATATATAATTATAAACATTTGATGCTTAATATATAATTTTAAAAATTCTTAAACTGAATTTAGTAATGAATTTGAAAATATTATTTCCAGCTTCTTATGTCAGTCAATTTTTTTTCCTTTCTAATTTTCTAGTCTCAGTGACTCTCTCTGTTCTTTTTTTTTAATCTGTTCTCTTCTGTGAAATAATAGAAAGTGTGAAAGCTTATTCATTATACAGCCCATATAAGTATAAATTTGCCTTAAAACTGTTTAAAGAGCTATACTAATTTAAATTTGCAATTGCCATTTTATATAATTCTTTTTCTAAAGGACTGGAAATTAGCATTTTTTTCACATACTGTTAGTAGTAAGCTGGGAGTAGCTGAGTGCAGGCCCATGTCAGGCCTATAAAGGCCTAGCTACCCAGAGACTAGTCTTGTCTAAAGTTAATTAAGGGCTCATTTATATAAAAATTATTTAATAGTGAACACTCTCAGAAACTACAGAGCTGTCAGTTGCTGTGATGTTAGCTGTCTACTTCATGCAAGCAACTGAAGGCTAAAGAGAAAAGTTAAGATATTCAGAATGCTACTGTCCTCTTTCTGAGAGAATTCAGCCCAATAAACACCAACTCTAATGAATTTTTACAATGTAAGAATAAACCTGCAGTTAGAGGTCATTGCTTATTCAGATACTGTTCTCCAAAGTTATATCAATACAGTCATCTAACTCTGCTACTAATGATGTGTACCATGTCTAACAAACAACTGACTTTTAGTCCTCATGTTACTTGCTTTCTCCATGGTACGTGAACATCCCAGAAGCACTCTTTCCCCTGACTTCAATGATATCTCTCACATTTAATTTTTTCCCATTTCTATGATTCCTTTTCTCCCAGATATTGTGTTCCCCTTCCACTTGACCTGTCAAATGTTAGTACTTTCTAAGGTTCTGACTCGGGCGCTTGTGTTCCTCTGCAATATCTCCCTGTGTCAAACTCTCAAAGGGTTAAAAAATAACCTAGTGTTGAGGGTTTCCAAAACTTGTACAGTAGTCCATGCTTTTCTCCTGGCTCCAGATCTACTTTGTTAGGTAGGAGGTTGAGTATCTTTATCTCATCACCCCAGATGTGTCTAATGGCTCCCTCTGCACAAACCCTTCATTACACCTCCTCTTCTAAACTCAGTACTTCTCTGTGGAAATTGTAAATATTTGCTGTTTGTTTCATGAATTCTACCCATCCTATTACCCCAAATTTCATGCATCAAATTAAAATCAACCCCTTTTCCAAAGTTGACAGGGAAAAGTCATGTGACTGAATTATTTTTATGTCTGGATTCTCATACTCTCTAAGAAAATATATTATAATGATAATAGTAACGCTGAGTTCTCTTAAGGTTATTTTGATGCATTTACTTTTGATGAACTTCTTAAGTTGGAGATACAATATCTTAGTTTCTCCTTTTGTTTGGTTGGATGAAGGTAACAAAGAACAGAGAGATAAATGACTTGCCCAAGGCCACCCACTGTCAGCTGTAAGGTCACTCAAGGTTTACCAACTTTCAGTCCAGTGCTCTTTTCACTGTACTATGTTGTTTAAAAGATATTTCTATTTAAGAATAGCTGAACTATTCCTACACACCAAGAAGTCAAATACAGTAAGCATTACAGGACCATAATATAGAACTGGATTTTCACTTTGTGCTCATTACAGTGTCCATTTCACTTTAACACAAATGCCCTAAAGTAGATATTATATTTATTTTCAGATCTATGGTATATTTATGATGTTATTACTATGAAAAAAAATCACCAGCGAAGAGTCTACTATATGATTACTACATTGAAATTTTAAAAGATGTATGCACATGTAAGTTCAAATAAAAATATTCTAACCCGCTGCGTATGGTGGCATACGTCTGTAATCCCAGCAGCTCTGAAGGCTGAGGCAGGAGGTTTGAGAGTTCAAAGCCAGCCTCAGCAACAGTGAGGCGCTAAGCAACTCAGTGAGACCTGGTCTCTAAATAAAATACAAAATAGAGCTGGGGATGTGGCTCAGTGGTTTGTTCCCTTGAGTTCAATCCCTGGTACCGCCCCCTACCAATACTCTTTAAACCTAAAACTATCTATTAACAACATCCTTAATTTCCAATTTATTAGTCTCTTGAAACATATATGAAAGTGTTCAACAAGCTTCTACTAATATAGCAATGTTCAAAAATGTTGGCTGAATCAACTCTCTACTAAACTTCAACTCATATCACCAAGTTTTAGCAATTTTATCTCTTGAGCACTGCTTATGTTTATCTACTTCTTTTCAGACATTTAGCCACCTGGTTCTGGATCTCATCTCCTCAAGACTGTTTCCTATAAAGCCTAGCTTCTGGTTTTACAAGTATATAGGAAATCCTGCTTTAAAAATAATTTCCTAAAGTATGTCTCTGATAACAATGTTTCTTTGCTCAAAAACTGTTCTCATTTAAAAAAAAAAAAAAAGGCCTATTCAGCTCCTTAGCCCATTTATTGATTGGGTTGTTTGTGTTTTTTGGTGTTAAGTTTTTTGAGTTCTTTATGTATCCTAGAGATTAATGCTCTATCTGACGTGTGTGTGGCAAAAATTTGCTCCCAAATATAGATTCTCTTTTTATCTCATTGTTTCTTTCTTTTGCTGAGAAGAAGCTTTTTAATTTGATACCATCCCATTTATTAATTCTTGATTTTATTTCTTGTGCTTTAGGAATCTTGTTAAGGAAGTAGGGGCGTAATCTGATGTGATATAGATTTGGGCCTACTTTTTGCTCTATTAGGCGCAGGCTTTCTGGACTAATTCCTAAGTCCTTGATCCATTTTGAGTTGAGTTTTGTGCATGGTGACAGATAGCGGTTTATTTTCATTTTGTTGTATATGGATTTCCAGTTCTCCCAGCACCATTTGTTGAAAAGCCTATCTGTTCTCCAATGTATGTTTTTGGCACTTTTGTCTAATATAAGATAACTATATTTATGTGTGTTTGTCTCTGTATCTTCTATTCTGTACCATTGCTCTACATGTCTATTTTGGTGCCAATACTATGCCTTTTTTGTTACTGTAGCTTTGTAATATAGTTTAAGATCCGGTATTGTGATGTCTCTGGCTTCACTCTTCTTGCTAAGGATTGCTTTGACTATTCTGGGTCTCTTATGTTTCCAAATGAATTTCATGATTGCTTTTTCCATTTCTATAAGGAATGATGTTGGGATTTAATTAATAAATGGAAGGGACTCAAACTAAAAAGCTTCTTCTTAGCATAAGAATCAATGAGGTGAAGAGAGAGCCTACATTTTGGGAGCAAATTTTTGTTGCACGTAAGTCAGAGCATTAATCTCCAGGATATATAAAGAACTCAAAAAACTTAACAGCAGAGAAAAAAAAAAAAAAACAACCCAATCAATAAATGGGTTAAGGAGCTAATAGACATTTCTCAAAAGAAGATATACATTAGATCAACAAATATATGAAAAAATGTTCAACATCTCTAGTAATTAGAGAAATGCATCAAAATCACTTTTAAGATTTCATCTCATGCCAGTCAGAATGGCAGTTATCAAGAATACAGACAACAATAAATGTTGGCGAGAAACGTGAGGGAAAAGGCACACTCATACATTGCTGGTGGGACAGAAAATTGGTGCAACCAATCTGGAAAGCAGTATGGAGTTTCCTTAGAAAACTTGGAATGGGACCACCATTTGACCCAGCTATCTTACTCCTCAGTCTATAGCCAGAAGACTTAAAATAATACTATAGTAACGCAGCCATATCAATGTTCATAACAGCACAATTCACAATAGCTAAACTGTGGAAACAATCTAGATGCCCCTCAATAGATGAATGGATAAAGAAACTGTGGTATATACACACAATGGAATAATACTCAACAATAAAAAAGAATAAAATCATGGCATTTGCAGGTAAATGGATGGAGCTGGAGAATATCATGCTAGTGAAGTAAGCCAATTCTTCCCCCGCTAAAAAAAGCCAAATATTCTCTCTAATAAGTGGATGCTGATCCATAATGGGGAAGGGGGAGGCATGGGAAAAATGGGGAACTGTGATTGGGCAAAGGGGAGAGGGTGGAGAGGTTGCATGGGGGCAGGAAAGATGATATAAGTTGATAGACATCATTACCCTAGGTACATGTATCACTGCATGTATGGTGTGATGTTACGTCGTGTACAACCACTTAAATGAAAAGTTGTGCTGCTACTGTGTACATTAAATCAAAATGCATTTTGCTGTCATATATACCTAATTAAAATAAATAAATTAATTGTAAAAAGGGCTAATTAAGGATAAACTAGTATGATGTGCACACAGTTAACATTCAATGTCAAAATGAATTTGAAGGCTCTTATGAACTTTAATCTATTTTCAATCTACTCTATGTTCTCTGAAAAATCTGTTTCAGCCTTTACTTCCTGAACACATCTATGCTCTCCTCTCAAATGACTAGGTTTGACACATAGTAAACAATGTCTCCCTCAAATTTTATAACTCCTTCAAGAATCAAGATCTCACCTCTTTTTAAAAGCCATCTTGATCCTACCAGTGATCCTACCTCTCTTTGCCTTGCACTGCAATAGCACCTTAACTGTACCTCTTTAGTAGAACTATTTAACCAACACAGCAGACTTTTACTAGTGTACTCTATTTATCCTAAGGATACCGTCGGATTTTTTTTTCTTTCTATCTGTCGTAGCACTCAGCAGACTTCTCTGCACAAGAAAGCTGACCAGTTATGTATTAGATAATAAATAACTATTAAAAAATAAAATAAAGCTCATTCTAAACTCACTGCTAGTTTTAGTACTCTATAATTTTCAAGTACTAGTAGAATTTGATAAACATTTCCAAATTACTAAATAATTGTTATAAATACCCCTGAAATACATTTTAAGATCTCCATTTATTTTTAATAAAGTTAATTCTATGATTAAAGCAGCAGTAGCCCAGATTATAATTTCTTCCTGGTTTCACTAGAGATGGTTTGAGAGCAAAAAAGCGTAAAAAGAATGTGAATACTCTTCCTTTCATCAAAAGGGCTTCCTTGCTCATCTACAGTTGAAGTTACTGAATCCATATGACAATTGCAAGGGCAAAGATAAGGTAAAAAAGAGTGATCAGGAATTTACAATTCTTGACTTCATTTAGTGAAGAAAATCTGTATATGGAAATATAGCAAATGAAAAATATCCCTTACATAAAACCTATGTGGCAATATAAGTATTGGAAAAAAGATCTTAAATTGTTTTACTAGGGTGGTTAAAAGTTCTGAATCTCCCTGATACTAATCTTTATAGAAAGTATAAACACTGAATTATTATTGCTTATATTCATGAAGGTTTACTATAATGCCATGTTCTTTAATTAAGCAGAATATCATTGAGTTACAAATACCAAACTAAAAAAAATTAGTTTTAGAAAACAAAAATTTAATGGTAGGATGAAAACAAAATTTTACCTGTGTTCTGCAGCTGGAACAGAATAGCCTGGGACAGGATCTTTTGTTCCATAATATTTTTTAATTAGTGCAATTCCTGCTACTGTATCTGTTCCTTTGAAGTTAACCAAATGAGCAGAAGCTCCTATGCCAGCAGTCTGGAAAATCAATGATAAACCAGAAATTCAAAAAGAAAACCCATATTTAACATAGCCTATGTTTAGCATAGCTCCTAAGGGAATTACTGTCTTTAGCTATTTTAAACAGATAATACAAAGATTCTGTTTTTCCCAAACATTTAAGGATTCAACTTTTACCTTCTCAAATAGACCTATTTATTAGTGCCCCACCTTCACTTCCCATCATTCTTCCTTCCTCTATCCTGTCTTATGCTTCTCTATATCATTATTTGACATGTGATGTATTTATTTTATCTGTATATCCATCGATCCTTCCATCAAATGTATCAAGGACTAGGACACTTGTTAGAAGACAAAATAGCAAATGTGTCTTGAACAGAGAGGAACACGTAGTGTTGACTGAATCTTTGGAATTTTAAAAGGTGGTCTATACTAATCCTACTAACATCCAGAAAAGTTTATAGTGGTACTCTACCAGACAA